TTACTTTCCACCATTACTACTTGCAACAGTTTAAAGTGTGCTGACAAACAGTAAACACCCAAAAATTTCTGAAAAAATAAAGTCTTGGTAATGCTGATTTACACAGCCTTTTATCAGATCTCAAAACTATCAGAATTAACGACCATCGCAGAATCCAGACCTGCAATAGATAGAGCTGAATGTTCAACCATACTTAACCCACTAAGATCAAGTTTAAAAAACAAAACCAAAAGAACACACAACTTAAAACTCACAAATCTTCAATCCAGAAAAATATTCCACAAATTATATTTGGTGTCCTCACAACACTCATTTTTCCATCTCTGCACCTAGAAACTACCATACCTAGAATAAAAACTCATCATCAACCAATTTAAGAGCAATGCTCACTACAACTGAAAAGTGTCTCAAAGGTCGAGGGGGGCGGGGAGGAGAAAAGGTAGATGCTGTCACCTTAGAAGCTAAAACAATTCCTGTTAAACCATACAACATATTATCCCACCCAAAACTGCAGCAATTCCTCCTGCTGATTACTAGCTGAATAGGGGATTAAGAGAGAAATCCAGAGATGATTTCAGACACACACACAAAAAAGCTTATGTGGCACATTATAAAAAAACTACACCGCCTTGTTTAAAGGGCAAGATGCTGTCAGTTCAATGGTTTTAGGCTAAGCAAGCCATGTAACACCAATACTATCTTTAGTCTCTTAAGGTTTATTTTTCTAATTCATTTCTAGTAACTTGCTACTGATCTTTGAACGGAAAAGAGTGTCTGTTGCCAGAGAGGAGGTCTGTCCACACCGCTGGTTTCCAGCACTGCCCCACCAGCCGCACCAGCACAAACAGGGCCTGCAGCTGAACCCCCCGGCCCCACGGAACACACGCACCCCTCGCACCCTGCCTATGGCTCCATCCTTACCTCCTCTGGAAGCCTTTATTACTCAGCTCTGCCAATGAGTCACGAGAATACGATCATTACGTCAGGTCTGAAAGATCTCTCCTCAGAGGAGGGAGGCCAGTGTTTTGTGACAGTCCCATCTGCTCTATTTGCACTATTAATAATAGAGCATTCCTAGCAGGAAACTTTAGTAACCAGCATGGAGCTAGCAGCAGCCAGCACTGGCAGCAAGGCCAATTCTTTTCTTTGCAGCGTTCATTTCTCTAGAACACACGAGTCATCAGTCCTGGGGTATTGCTGACTCTTTTAAAAAGAGACTGGAAATAAGTGTTTCTCGTGTATTACAGTATACAAGACAGAGTTCAGGGAACTCAGTGCATTATATTAAAAGGAACAAAAAACAGGCAAAAACATCTTTTTACATCTTCTTAACACCTTTAGGGCCGTGCATTCAGTTTTTCCACGCAAACACACACAGAGCATAACACGAATACTCGGGTAACTCCCAGCGAGAGCGCCGGGCACGGGCCACGCGACGCTCCGCGAGAGAAACGCGGCTCGCCAGCACCCGCGGGGAGACTCGCTTTCGTTACCGTGCGACGCTCCATGTTCCGCTGCCGTCAAGGGCGCATTTTGGAG